ACCTGGATCCTGTGCTCGATCAATCCATGAGCCGATTTACACGTTCATTCTCCTCTCTGCACCGTTCATCTCCCCGGACCCTTATCCGTTCCTTTGGTGCCATTCCGTCAATATTCTTGACCTCCTGTATCTGTCATCGTCTTGTCTGGCGATGTCTCTTTCCCCAGTCCTGGCTATTACCCCCTTAACAGCTGGAATTGTGTCGTTAACCTGTTCTAAGGGCAGTATTAATTTCAGTATATAAAAGTATGTGTATGTGTGTATATATACACACATAAACGTACGGTCGTGTAGCGGTTAGCGCTGCACTACGAACCTGGCGTGTCCGGGTTCGATTCCCACTCACGGCCAACTGAACCGGTCCTGGGCCTCACCTAGGTCGACTCAGCCTCAAATGAGTACCTGGTGTGATGTGTAAACATTGCCACGATGGAGGCGAAGGCGGCCGGGCGTGGTGTTGGTCCACCCGCCCCCTCGTGTGCCCTGCCGTTCTTTATAGGTGCTCGCTAACAGCCTTGCCACTACAGTCTGTTAAGGCTATACGGGGGAGCTTTGCCTTTATCCTTGTGCTATGCAACGGTGCTCGCTTACAGGACTTGCCTGAAAAGTGCGTTAATGCTGCACGGGGGATCTTTGTCTTTGTGTATATGCAATTTAACATTTGCACGAATAACCTGAAATGTTTAAACCCCCGGATTTTTTAAACGGTTTCAACATTAAGTGATTTAAAACGAGCGCAATATCGATTAACTAACGAGAATCGGTCACATATAATACAGTATTATATTATGAATGTACTCGTAATTAAATACTTGAGAGTAAGTCCGAACACACTTCCCGTGAGAATCGAAATTCACTAAACTCAATTTGTATCGCACACGGGAAACAAAACAAAAGTAATTCCCTCTAATCGTCTGTTTCCTAAGCAACTGAAAAAAAACATTTGCTAGAATTTCAACAAAACGTCCATTAAATAACACTTTTACCTATCGCACACACTCGTCGTGCTGTGTGTTACTGGCCCCTCGACGTTTCCAGGGGCCTCGGGGGGGGGGGGGGGTGGTGTGCGAGTGCTGTGATTAGAAACCGCGATCAGAAAAAAAAGTCTTAGCGACTGCCTTGAGGTTTCAGCCAGTGGGTGCAATCTCCTCAATCATTGGTATGTACGTTGAACTTCTCTCGCACAGTACGTAGCAAACCGTGCGAATCGGGGGTGCGGGCGGGGGGGGGGTACCGAAAAAACCTAAGAGTATGAATCCTTGCAGTCACGAAAGCTTCAAATCTAGAATTAATACCCTCTACGGGGAGGAATTTCACCTATCTGAGTTTTTAACAGACAACGAGACAAGAAGTCACAGCTTCTCGTGACCGTGACTTTACCGACAACAACAAACTCAACACAAAAGCGGTTCTAAAGAAATGAGTTTTCGTTGTAGATTTAAAAGTGTACATCCTCCACCGGCTTCCTCATATCGAAAGGAAGAGCGTTCCAGACGGGTCGCAGAAGCGCATCTGAAAGCACGCGGTGCAGTGAGACCGTCTTTGTTCGATGGCCAGCCAAAAGCCGCTTGCTGCTGCGAGGATGAGCGGAGTTCGCGTGATGATGGTTTATGCTCCTTGACGATCGGCAAGGTATTGTGGTTCATTTGTGGCAAAAAAAAATCGGACAATGAGCATGCATGCGACCTCTGTAGTCCATGACCAGGCATTTGCATCGTCCCTTGAATATCATCTCCTGACACATCCCATGCGATATCCACGGCAATGGCTTGTAATTGTAAAGCATTGCCTTACATCCCTCTAATACAAAGTGTCTATAAAATACATGCATTTAAAACAAGGGCGGTGGCGCAGTGGTTAGCGCACTACGCTCTGAACCCACCCGCTTAAAGTTCGTTTCCCGGCCACTGTTTAACAACCATCAGTGTCGAGTTGATAGCAAAACAGCTGGATCTGCCCTGCCTGCTACCCCTTCACCAACCCGCACTGAGCATCGTGGTGAAGTATGGTCACAAATACAACAATGTTTGACGCAGTGTTTGGGTGGGGGGGGGCTTCGTAATACATTGGTGGCATTGAGAGAGTACGAATTATTGTTATTTGTAAAGCTACTGGTGGTGTCAGTTTTGATGTGTGAGTGATTTTACATGCGTCCGCGTGTGCGTTCGTGTGCGTGCACGGAGAGCAGTAGCGTAGCGCGCTGCGCTACGAACCCCGGCCACCAACACTCGTTGTGACCACGATCTCACTCGATCCTGGGCCTCACCTAGATTCGACACAGCCTCAAAGGAGCACCCGGTGCGGTGTGTAAACATCGTCATCGGGGAGACAAAGGCGGCCGGGGGTGGTGCTGGTGACATACCCCCCTCGTGTGACGTGCCGACTTTCATAGGTGGCTCGCTCACAGCACTTGCCCCAACAGTCTGTTGAGGCTATACGAGAGGGGGGATCTTTGTCTTGTGTGTGCGCGTGTCTGTTCGCGATCGCGACAGCGCAGAAGGCCGCTCCTGCGCTGCTACTTTAACGTGTTCATTGATGCTCAAAGGAAATCGTAGCGCGCACTAATTGTAACACAATTAACATGCAAATTTTAACGGACAAGCTAATTACGGCGGCAGTGATTGCGTTGTTATGCGTAATGATCTTTAAATTGATTAACATTTTTTTACGAAAAAATGTGCGGATTTAATGATATAACCGATGCCGGTTTGACTCTGCATCTAATGTGAAGTATATTAAGCGTGTACACTGTGTGTGTACACTGCGTGTGTACACTGTGTGTACACTGCGTGTGTACACTGTCTACATTGCGTGCGAGTGAGTAGTGTAATTGGGGAGCGGTAGTGTAGTTCTTATCGCGCTCCGCTACGAATCCGGCGACACGAGTTCGATTCCCGCTCACGGCCAGCACCGATGATTAATATTCGAACCGGCACTGCGCGTCGCTTAGGCCGACCTGAGCGGAGTACCTCGACCGAGTCCCTGATGCGGTGTGTTTTAAAGGTCGCCAATGTGGAGACAAAGGCGGTCCGGCGTGGTGCTGGCCACCTAACTCCCTCTTGTGCCGTGTTGTCCTTCATAAGTGCTCGCAAACAGCACTTGCCTCGACTGTATGTTAAGGCTATACGGGGGGGGGGGATCTTTGTGCGCGTGTTTTTGTTCGTAAACTAACAAACATGTACAGTATTCAATAACATATTACACCCATGGAACGTACGTATAGGTATGCAAATGAAAGTCAGGTGCATTAAACTAAAATAACCTATCCGTGAAACTAGCTTTCTAATCGGTGCGTTAATTGTCTGTACGATATGATGGAATAGAGTTACACGCGCCGAGAAATATATAATGTACCTAGATGGGTGAAGACTAATTTCCATTTGCCGTATTGAACCAACAAGTGCTCTTTCAGGGAGGTTTGCCGAATCGGCATCTTCTGATCACGCATTCGTCTAATAATAACAATGTGTAAATGTATTAAGTAAAACGCGTAATAGTAGTTGAACAATTAATAATGTTGGGTGAATGTCATGAATATACGGATTTTATGTTTACGCTCGCATTTAACTGAACATGCATCGCGCGCGCGTGTGTGTGATCGTATGTATGTAATTGCATCGGTGCGTATGTGCGTGAGCTTGTGTATATTTGAGTGCTCGCGCGCGTGTGTGCAATTGCATCATTGAATGTGTACATAACTGCGTGTGTGCAGTGAAATGTGAAATACGTGTGTGTGAGCGATGTGTCCGTTAGTGTGTAGTGCTGGCCACCCACCCCCTCAGTGTGCCGTTCGGGCCTTCAAAGGTGCTCGCTAACAGCACTTGCCCCCACAGCCTGCTAAGTCTACACGGGGGTTCTTTGTCTTTGTGTGTTCGCACGAGTCTGAGGCGCGCTTATGGGGAGCGGTGGTGCAGTAGTTAGCGCTACGAATCCGAGTTCGATTCCCGCTCACGGCCAACACCGGTGACGAATATTTCAACCGGTACCGGACTTTCCCCTCGATCGACTTTGCCGATGTGGTGTGTAACCATCGCCACTGGGGAGACAAAGGCGGCCAGGCGTGGTGCTGTCGACCCCCACTCCCTTGCGTGCCGCGCTAGCTCTCAAAGATGCTCGCTAGCAGCCAACAGCACTTGCCCCAACAGTCTGTGGAAGACTGCGCGGAGAATATTGGCCTTTTGTATGGCTCGGCGCGCCTGCGTATCCGTGTTAATTCACTCACGTTCACTCGTTCGTTCACAAGTACAAGTTCATACTTGCACGTGCATCACACGAAGGGTGCAAATCATGACATTGATTACGCACACATGATCATCTAATCCCCAAGACATCTATTACCGTTTGTTTAACAATTTAAAAACACATTAGCACGAATTAACAATAATAATACGCGGATCAGACATGGACAAGACTGCGTAATAAATTAACAACGATATGTACGAAATAATAACGTTAACAGCAAATCATCAGCAGCATCATCATCATCAGCCACTGCGTTCACGCGCGCAATAAATAACTGGAGCCCTCTCTCAGCGCTCTCTCTCTCTCGCCTCTCCCTCTCTCTCGCCTCTCTACCCCCAACATCGCACGCTCGCATAATAGAGAAGGAGCAAGGGCGCGCATGCGCCTTCACTACAACCATTGAACCATCAAGACGTGACGGAGCCCACACGCCTCCCCAACACCCACCCAGCCCGCCCGCCCGCCCGCCGACTCCTACCGAGAGACAGTAGACAGGAGGGAGGGAGGGATGGTGGTGGTGGTGTGGGGGGTGCGTGGGTGAGTGTGTGGGTGAAGTGAGTGGCGGTAGCCGTGAAAGAGAAAGTGAAGTGCACAGGGAGGAGCAGGAGGAGGAGGAGGGAGCGCTGGGGAGTGAGAGCGAGAGAGGGGCAGAGAGTAGGGGTGGGTGGGGGTAGGGGAGATGGGGGTGGGTGTTAGGGGGTAGGTGGTTGGCTGGGCTGGCTGGTTCGTGGTGGGGGGGGGGTGCTGCTTGGTGGAGTTGTTTGGGACGAGTTCGAGAGCTTTCAGAGATTTTTTTTGCTCTTCCTCGCCGATCATCTGCCGCGGCGCCGCCGGCACAGCCATGCGTTCCAAAGGACCGGCTCGAAAACTCGCCACCAAACGTGAGTCTGTCTACACCATCACCCCCCCCCCACCCCAGTACTCACCAGGCTGTGCGCGAGCTCGACTGTGCTTGTATGGAGACGGCCTGTCGCCGTGTCTCTGCGTGATCACATCTGTGAGCCTCATTCACCCGCTGCAGTCACTTGCGCAGCAGACGCCGCGTCCGCACTCCGCAACTCGCTCGCTCGCTCGAACGCCGTCTGTGAGGTTTTTACTGTGACCATTGATTTTACATTCTGCCCCCCCCCCCTAATTGAGTCGATGTTAGTGTAAATCACACACCGCGATATTTGCCTGTAAGTCACACGGGCGCGCACACAGCTAGAGATTGCTCAACCGTTGCTCAATTATTACATACGTACATACATACAGGCACAGACGTATGCAACACCCCCCCCCATCTCCCTTATCGTTGCCAAATAATGTTTAAACCAGTCGTGTCAACATTTCATCTCCGGCTCTGTATGGCCGCCGTATCGAGGCGTGATGCATGCATGTGTGCACGAAGACAAAGATACCCCGTGTAGCCTTAACAGACTGTTGGGGCAAGTGCTGTTAGCGAGTAGCACCCATTGAAGACCGTTTCGGCACACGTACGCGCGCACACACGAAGTTACAAAAAACTCGTTACAACCACCATCATCATCATCACGAGCCGCTATTGCTTAGCATCTTCCCGTTGTCCGCTTGAAATGCCAGGCTAGTGTAGAACGAGCTTCTGAAATGCTCAGTTAAGATATAAGGGCGTCGGGGGGGGGGGGGGGTCGTAAGAAGAGTTCGCGTGTGCGAGACTGACGGACTTTGCGGACTGCTGGGCGCGCTGCGTGCAGCTGCGTGCCCTCGTGGCTGCAGGCAGACTGCCCGTACGTAGTGGGCGCTCGAACGCCGCAGGAGAACGCCAACGCGCCCGATGCGCGCACCGCTCACGCGACCTTCAATTGTAACGCGGCCTGCGTCTGTACCCCTTTCTTTTTTTTAACGCCGTGCGCGTATGTGTTGTTATTATTATTATGGTCGTTCTCTTTACACGTCGTACATTGTTCACAATTTGCAGGCTAAGCTTCGCGAACGAACCACATACACTTGACTGTGTGGGTGTTTCAAAGCTCGAGAGGCGAGTGGATGTGTGGTTCATTCACTCATTTCTCGCGAGATGTGTGTCCCGTGCGCTAAATAGCTCTTACCGCATTGGTTTGGAACTTTAATCGGCATCATTATCATCAGCCACGTTCAATATACTGCTGGTTGGAGACTTTCCACACACTGCTGCCCAACTCCCGAGATGTAACAACAACAAACAACAACATCCCCACCCAGCAGCTTGCACAAGAGCCGACTCCGTCGCTCCATCTCCTCTCGGCTGGTGTCTACTCTCTCGGACGCGTTTCACACTTTGGTTGCCACTGCGTTCTCAGGTCACACCATCGTGCACAGGCCACACCCTCGTTCTCAGGCCACACCATCGCACATCGTTGCGATGACGCGCCCCGGCTAACCCCGCATTTCTCAAAAGTAAAAAATTCGTCATTAAACCAGCTTGAATTTTATAACCCATGCTATGTTCATCTTTCTGTCCCGCCCGATATTACTCCAAGCGTGCAATTGATATAATTATAATTATTTTTGAATAGGCTATTTTAATTTCGGCTTCGGTTAATTGTGTTTTGTGTAAAATAGCGGCACGTAAAGTCTCAAGACGCATTGCCAGGATGTGGTCCTATTTCGGATTGTTTGGTTGGCAAATTCGGTGCTGTGCATGACACCGTACGGTTGACGATATGACTTGGCAATAAAGTAGTGGCGAATGTTAAATCTCGTAGCGTGTTCAGTCGCTACATAGGCCTCACATTGAACTGAGTAGTACACAGACCAAAAACCATCTGTAGCCGCAATACATCATAATTTTATTATTAGAAATTAATGTCAACCTCATATTTTAATTAGCATATACAATTATTGAGTGTGATTGGCTATGCGCGCGTGTGTCTTTGTTATCGTTTGTAAGGAGGATTATTGCAGGCTATGAAGTATATAATTGCGTACTTTGGAAAGTGTAGGAATTTCACGGTGTACTTTATATCATAACGGGAATCGATTTGTAAAAATAAAACATCGCCGTGTCGTATATTTTAGTAACCGACAGTGATATTCGCTTGCTTTCTATCGGCTTGAGCGTCATACTCTCAAGATAGGCGAATTACTTGGTTAACCGTTTGATCGGGGGATCGATTCTTTTAAATCTTCAACGGAGGAAGCAATGACGAACTTTGGAATGGCGCTGCCCTAATGAGTGAACTCGATCAATAATCAGCATTTAATTTTTTATTGTGTCCGTACATGAAGTAATATTGTCAAAGATCACATTTGTCTTGGACACTCTAGAACATCAATATAATTTACATCAGTGACTTCCACACGGCGGATACTGAAATACGTATATTCATATCTTCGTATCTTAAACGCGATTTTAGAATGACACACACACGATAAAAATAAATATATATAGAGCACTATAAAATAATAATAATAATGTGCCCTCCGTTGTCAATCCACTGCTCGATGAATGCCGCCTTCCCCTCGTCGTTGCGAAGCTGTGAAGAGGTTGCAGATTCGGTCCCTACCGTTTGCCGATATCACTCGCGGCCCGGATTCGAACTCTCACAGAGCACCGCTCCACGTGCATGCACTCTCTCTATATATAGTAATACACACATGTGCGCATGCTGCTGTACGACCAGCACTGCCACTTACTGCTATCTCCTACCACCTTTTACTCCTGTTTACACTAACTAGTAGTGTTGACAACGGTCGATGTGCAAGGGAGTCTGTAATTGCCGTGCGTATCCGTTCTTTAATCTTCGCATTGCACACTCGCCTTACCACTGTCTATACATTCAACTCGTGTGCGTGTTTATGTGCGAGAGCTGTGTGAGTGAGGCACCGTGCATGAGGAGTGTGTTGGCTACTACCACTTGTTTGATCGGCAATCTTATGTCTAATTAAGAGCAGTCATTAGTGGTTTAGCTGTAAGTGATTTATCCACCCGACTATTTTGTCCTAAGAGCCAGTGTGTGTTTAATTATTCATCCTAAGCAACCACGGACGTGATGTGGTGTGTGTGTGTGTGGTTTATACACGGGAGCGGTAACGTAGTGGTTAGCGCACTGCGCGACGAACCCGGCCACCCGAGTTCGATTCCCACTTCCAGAATATTTCAACCGCTCTTGCGCCTAGGTAGACTGAGCCGAAAATGAGTAACTGGTCGTGTTGTGGACACATCGTGGTGTGTAAACATCTCGACTGGGGAGACAAAGGCGTTCGGGCGTGGTGTTAATGGCCAACCAGTAATCATATACGTCTCGCTTAACAGTACTTGCTCCAAAAGTCTGAAAGGCTATACGCGGGGGGAAATTTGTGTTTGATACGTGAACGTGTGAATTCTGTATACACAGGGACTTCAATAAGTGCGTATACTAAATTGTCAAGGATTTTTGCACGTAAAAAACCGCTGGAGTAGAAAATAAATAAACCATTAATTATTATTTTCGGTCGCTAGGAGGAAAGTGATCTGTGCACAAAGACGCCGGATGAGTTTATTGTTGTTGCTTTGGACAAATGTCGGAGTTCTCTTGCCAATAACATCTGGTCATCGCGCAAAATTTGTATCAGAAGCCCGACTTTGCCGGTGAGACCCAAACAAATTGAAACCGGTCCAGCAGTTTGCACGCTTAAACAAATGCCGCTGGAAAATGACATTAATAATAACAATACTGTTTTTATGGGGCCAATAGGCCGATGGACAAACACAGGCAGTATTTATGTGCGGAAAAACACATTGAGTGAATCATCATTCACTGAGCCGACATGCATTCTGCAGGGCATTTTAACCGAGAACAAAACCCATCTTGAAGAAGTCCATTTCTCTCGTGCAGTGACGCAAAGATGCTTCAACTCGAATTGTTACTTGGCTGCAGCCGCGGTGCGATCATGGGTTAGGACGCGTGCGTCTGCGTGAGTGTGTGTGAGTGTGTGTAGTGTATGTGTGTGGTGTGTGTGTGTCGGTGTTGGTGTGTGTGTCGGTGTTGGTGTGTGTGAGTGTGTGTGGTGTGGGTGTGGGTCTCGGGTAGTGTAGTGGCGAGCGCGCGCTGCGCTACGAACACGGCGACCCAAGTTCGATTCCCGCTCACGGCCAACTACCAGTGACGATTAATTTGAACCGGTCCTGGTCTTCCCCTAGGTCGAGTCGGTCTCAAATGAGCACCTGTGTGTGGTGTGTGAATATCGCTACTGGGGGAGACAAAGGTGGCCGGGCGTGGTGCTGGCCACCCACCCCCTCTTGTGCCATGCCGGCCTTAATAGGTTCTACTGGCTAACAGCACTTGCCCCAACAGTCTGTTCAGGTGATACGGTGTGTGGGGGGTGGGGGGGTTCTTTGTCGGTGTGAGTGATCGTGTGCGTGGCGGCCACAGTTCGATTCCCTGCATCGGTGGCGAACGTCTGAGTCGCTCCCGGGGCACCGCCCTATCTCCCTGCTGCGCGGCTCTTCCGAGATGAAATCCTTCGCACGAAGAGACCGCGCGTCGACCCCAGCAGTGTGCAGGCACAGCGCAGCTTCATCATTCGGCGCGAGGAAAAGCGACGGCGCTCACGAGTTGTTGTTCTTGTTGCAGGCAAGGTGATGGTGATCTTACTCGCAATGCCTTGCTCACATATTTATTTTGCATGGGGGGGGGGGGGGTTGGATAGACCGCTTGTGGGGATCGGCATGAATCGTTCCATGCACGCGAGCGGGTTCTCTTTATGGAGGTGGGCGGGGGGTGGATTCGGGTGAGGTTTGCTTCGGATCTCTGCGTGAAAACTGTGTAAATTGCACGGTTTACCTAAAACAAAACTCAAAACAAACAAAGCGGTCCGCACTTTCACCACGGGGACGTGTGCGGCCTCAGGGCCAGCGGCTTACGTTCTGTCCCGTCCTTATCCGCGATTGCCACACTCTGTG